AATAATAATATAATAATAATGATGATGACTCTTAGTTGCTTGAATGCAGGAAATATATTGTGTGTTTCTCTACCCCCTACAGCACCGATAAAATGCCTTAGAGATGGTAGGTACTAAAAAAATATTTGCTGAATCAATTTACTATACAAGGGTACCTACAAAGTCTGGAAACAGAGGCAAAAAGACATCATAAAGGATTTGTGATATTATACTACAGAACGGGATGTAATATAATACAATACAATGCTATACATTAAATGTATCAATGTGTTGTCCCGCATTAACAGTGCATGGTTCCATGCTTTATGCAAAATTGCAACGAACATGGTAGATTAATACTGCATTTCTATCAGTTCCTGCACTTGCTTACATGATGTGTTGCCTCAGATGGTTTTTGTCTCTGATTTCATTGAGTTCAACTCGTACCTTTAGCCTACTCTAGAAGAAACAATCAAGAGGATTAATCTATACAAAAAATAAAATAGTAAACTTCATTTCCAGACTTTATGGCCAAAAGCCTCCCTGTAGATACCTTTCATCTCTCCCATTCAGTGCCCCTTCTCTGTGGGTGAGGCATTCTCTCTGTGGTTTATTATTAACCCCTTTGGGCACCAGGAGTCTCCTCTGAGTTTTCTCCCTTCTGTAAGAATCAGCATCCTGATCTACTTTCTCTTACCAGAATGTGGAGATTGGACTCTTCCTGCTTTTTTTTTTCAGTTTCCTTTTATGCCCTCACTTGTAAAGCAATTCTTCCCCAACCCCCACCCCATGAAGCAGACACATCTTCTTCCTCACCTCTGAGCTTCCCTGAGACTGCCCATGGATGCCCATCCTGTTACACAGTTGTCACCAGATGTGCAGTGAGAACCAGTTCCCCTGTTTGCAGAGAATTAAAGTGATATGTGAGCCCCCTTCTTGTCCAAGCTATGAAAGAACTGGAATATCCCTAGATGCTTTGGGTCCCCTAGTTTGTCGGAAGCTAAAGCATAGCTCTGTGGAGAATGAGGGTATGGGAATTGAGGCCTTCAGGGAAGTTACTCAGTTTGCCGAAGTGGAACCCAGCACCTGTTATGATAGTGCCTGTGAAGGGCTTCTGGTACTAATGCTTTAATGACTTTAGCTTCTTTTTATTTTAACAGATATATAATTGACATATAATATTGTATAAGTTTAAGGGATACAATGTATTGATTTGGTGCATTTATCTATTGCAATATGATGACCACTGGAGCATTAGCTGATTAACACCTCCATCATACAGCACAATTATTATTTCATTTTGTGGTGAGAACATTTAAGATCTAGTCTTTTAACAACTTTGAAGTTAATAACATAGTGCTGCTGAGTATAATAACTGTGCTGTGCATCAGATCTCTAGAACTTATTTACTTTCTAACTGTAAGTTTAGACTCTTGACCAACATCTCTCCAATTACCCCAACCACACAGTCTCTGGTAACCACCATTCTACTCTCTCTTTTTACAAGTTTGGCTTTTTTAGATTCTACATGTGCGAACATTTGTATTTTGCTGTCTGACTTACCTCACTTAGCATACTACCCTCAAGGACCATCCACATTGTTGCAAATGATGGGATTTCCTACTTTCTCATGGCTGAATAATATTCCTCTGTGTGTTTCTGTGGTGCGTGTGTGTGACTATAGCTTCTTTCTTCCACAGGACACCAGCCATGATTGGCTGCTCCTTCGTGGTCAACAGGAAGTTCTTTGGTGAAATTGGTCTTCTGGACCCTGGGATGGATGTGTATGGAGGAGAAAACATCGAACTTGGAATCAAGGTTTGTGACATGGCGTTCTTTCCTCTTAGTTTGTTCACGCTTGTGAGCAGAGCTGCCTAGTCATCCTTAATGTACACTTAAAGCTTCTTTAGCTTATAAATGACAGATTCATTTATCTCATCCCTGTTCCTGAGGATGTTCCAGCAAGGCTGTCACCCCTGAGAGAATC